CAATATCTGTAGTATGGCTTATGTTTGGTATTCTTGATACCGATACCATCCACTATTTAGATGGTACTGGTATCAATAATACAAATTCCCTCTCTCCCGCTCCCCCATGATGATGGTGATTATGCTGATGCTGCGATGATGATGGTGATGATGATGACGATAATGGTGGTGATGATGATGACGATGATGACGATGACGATGACGATGGCGATGATGTTGGTGATGCGTGTGATGAGGTCCTCATCCTCATCTCCTTATCCCCTCATCTTATCCCTCCTCCCCCCCTGCCCCTCATCCTCTGCCCCTCTCGCGGGGAAGTGCAGCCTCGGGCTGAGTGCGTTGTTCGTGGCACCGCCACCCGTCACTGCAAGACGCACAATTGTCGAGGCTGCCGGGTGGAGGGCGTTTCGCTTGGAGAGGAGGGGGTGGAGGAAGGAGGACGATGAGAGGAGGACGAGGAGGAGGAGGACGAGGAGGAGGAGGAGGACGAGGAGGATGACGAGGCGAGGAGGAGCGTGAGGAGGAGCGGGACAGATTTTGCAACGTGTCGTAAATCGCTATCTCTAGTGGCGTTCTGGTTCAAACAACCGCCCAGCAATGTCCAAGAAGGCAGGCATACCGAAGAAAAAACATGGGGCACTCGAGAGCAGCGCGACTGGGCCCTCAAAAACAATGGCCTCACCAGCGCAGGCAAGGCCTTGCTCAAGGCCGAGGCGTCCAAGCACAAGGAGGTCGTGAAGACTCGCAAGGCTAGCGGGGGACTGAGAGACGCGGAACCTCTCGCCGCAACCGAAACTGAACGCAGGTGTCTGGGCGTGCTGTTGGTCTTCCAGCGTTCGCCAGAAGCTAGAACTGGAGCGCGGTGGCCGCGCCCACGAGAGGTTCATGAACCGCTTTGACGTGCAGCACGAAAGAAAACTCAACAGTGACCTGAAGAAGGAGAACAGGGAACTCCAGCGAGCGACAGAAGCGGGGGGCGGAGGCCGAGCTGGCGAAAAATGAACGCACGCAGGGGTGCGCGTTCATCTGCGAGCACGGCCCTCGCAGCAACAACAGGAACCAGTTGATGGAGTGGGCCGACGCGGAGGTGAATCGAGAGGGGTCGAAAATCTTCGGTTGGCCAGCCGCCAAAGTGGAGACCGCTTTGCGCAACCATCAGAAAGGGAGGACAAACGCCAAGCCGATCACGCGTTGGAGTTTGACGGTGAAGAATTTCGCTGGCTGGTTCCTCAACGTCGTCATCAAGCTCATGATTGGCACCCTCCACATGCATGGCGTTCTGTGGATCGGGAAGTCCAGGGTCGGCAAGAGCAACGGCTCCAAGACTTTGGCATGGACGCACTCGGCGTACAGCATCCAGAAGAAGGGATCCGCCGACGAGATCGCTTTCCTCACTGTCAAGCACATGGACTTCCTTCAAAGGGGAAGCCGACGACGGACGTCCCGCCGGGGATTTTCGACGACGGCCTCCTCCAGAAAGTTCAGCGGCCACATCCTGCCCTTCCGACCCGCGGTTTCCTACGGTGACAGCGGTTCCTTTCGTCGGGGGGGCCTCGAGCGAAGTGAGCCCCGCAATTCTCGCCCAACTAGAATTCGCGGCGGTAGTGGTGGAGTCCACGCGTGACCGCCTGGAGGTATCAGCTGACGTGCTGAAGGCTTTCCTCAATCCCAAGGAGAGGATGGATGCTCTGCCGTGGGCTCGGTGGTGCGGCGCGTTCGAGCAAGGGTCGTGCAGGCAAGCTGTTGCCAACCCCTACGACCGCGACGCGGAGAGGGCGGCGTCGGATGGAGGTAAAGACCGAGGAAGACTTCAACGTCATCCTCGCCAATCGAACGTCACCGTGGCCACGGACTGCGGCGCGCGCTGGCGCGTGGGGTCCGCCAACCTGGAGGACGACGCCGAGTTCACAAGGTGCCGGACACGTCATCGCCCGCTGTCCGCCCGCCTCCTTCAAACCACGCCGAGCGGATGGAATTGTCTACCGGCTACATGAGCAATTTGGTGGAGGGCCCGGACGTGCCCACGGTTGCGACTGTCCGCGTCGCCCCGATGCTTGGCGATACGGTCTCCGCTGTCGGCGGCATCTCAGGGTTCGCGCCACGCGCGGCAAGCGCTTCGTCCGCCTCCGCGACCGCTGCTGCGTCTCGCCCCGATGGCGCGGCATGTGCGCGAGCCGATCGGGACCAGGATGAGGACGTGTTCCGTTTCGGCGACGGGATGGACGAGCCAGAGGAGGGCGCCCCTGCCGCAAGCGCCGTTCAGCCTGACATCGTGGGGCGTTGCGGGGAACTGACGAAGGAGGACCAGGACGAGCAAGTCGCCGTGTCCAAGAGCCTCGCCAGGGCGCACCACGGCGCCTTCGAGGACTTGTCCTCGCCTCCGCCAGCGAAGAGGGCGAAGGGGCTCATGGCGGGATGCCGAGGTCCGCTGTCACCCGTGGACGCCGAGGAGCAGAAGGCGATCTTCGCCTCCATCGCCGCTTCGGCCCACGGGGAGGACGATCGCCGTCGACGACGACGACGACGGCGGCGGCGACCTGGCAGCCGAGCTCGGGCGCCTGAAAGAGCAGGGCGACCATGCCTCGGGGTCGGGAGCGTCACCCCCCGGCGAGACCGCCAGAGCGGGCGGCCGCGCCCTGCGGGCGCGCACAGGGCGCGACGCAGTCGGAGCCGAGGGCCGTCGGCGCGACGCGCGCGCTCACGCATGAGCCAGTATGCTTTGTAGGTACGATTGCCCACCAAGCGGTCGATGCCGACCACCCACCCGAAGGGCTTGCGCGATGAGGCGGAACGCCTTCAGAGAATATTTCAAAACAGGGACTGCGACAGACTGGGTTGCAATCGCTGCGGTTGCGGCCTCTGCTTGCCCCCAGGAGGGGGGTGATCGGGAGGAGGGCGAGGAGGAGGAGATGAGTAAGGAAGCGGATGAGCTAGATAAGATGAGTGCGACCCCGATGATGGTGATGGCGGCGCTGGTGATGATGATTATGACGACGACGGGGAGGAGGATAAGGAGGAGGAGAGGAGGACGGCGAGGACGAGGAGGAGGAGGAGGATGAGTGACTCATCAAAGACCCTCCTCCCTCCTCAAGGAGGGAGGAGGGAGGAGGGAGGATAGAGGAAAGCGCAGGAGGAAGGAAACAAGTACATAAAAATGATGAGGAGGAGGGGTGACTCACCAAAAACCCCTCTCCCTCCTCCTCAGGGAGGGAGGAGGGGGAGATAGGATAGCGCAGGAGGGATGACAGAAACGATTGACCAAACCAACAAAACTATGATTTCGGGAGAACTTCTGGAGGGAGGGGTGGCCAAGGTTCTCCCGAAAGCATGTGATTTTGGTTTGTTTGGTGTGTTGGGCTTCTGTGTTGTTTGTGTTGTTTGAGTTGTCGTATGCTTTGTTCATTGTGTTTCACGAATTTGTTGATTTCGAAGGCGGTCGAGAGAGGGGGGAGGAGGAGGAGGACGACGACGACGACGAGCGAAACATCAGTGAAGGTTTCGTGTTTCTTGTGGTTTGGGGGTGCTGGGGGGGACGGCCACACATATATATATATATATATACATATGTACACACATATATGTATATATGTGTGTACCGAAATATAGATATGTATCTGTATGTATGTGTATATATGTGCTCTCGCTTCGTACGCTACGTACTCTGCGCCCTGCTCCATTCTCTCTCATCAACGATGTGCGGCATCCTCTATACACGTCTGTTACTGTATTTCCCCATCCGCGCTCTACTCCTTCTATACACTCCTTGTCTCGAGAACCCAGGACCCCGCCCTCCTGCCGAAATCGACCTGGCCCTTCCGCCAAATCCTTACGATCCCCTCGCCGCGACGACCCCATCCGATGCAAGCATTGGACTGCCCAACCAAATCGGCCTAACATGACGAACCAACAACACACACCCATACCCATAGGGGGGTCGGAGGGGGCTATGGGTGCGTGTTGTCGGATGGGGGTCCCCGCTCGAACGGGAGCGTTCCCCAGGGTCCGACAACCCGCACCCATACCCATAGACAGTCCTCCTCTCAACGACCCCCCTATGGGTATGGGTGTGTGTTGCTCGATCGGCCCAACGCTCTCGCCGCATCCCTAAGACCTCTGGGGCCTGGAAGCTGGCAACCTGGCCGCCCACCGAGATCAGCCGGGCACTTTCGCCAAATCCTGATTGAAGGGGCCCTGGGACACACAAATAAAAACATACAAAATAAACAGATTCCCAATATTTTCCGATATTTTATGAGTTTTTGTCTTCCCCTCCACTTCCCATATTTTGCCATATTTTCTGGGGGATCGAAGATTAATTGTGCCTGTGTGTTTTTTCCCCTCCTGAGATTAGCCCGGCACTTTCGCCAAATCCTGATCACCTCCCCGTGTCAAGGAGACGTATGCCTCGGGCTCGGGGGGCTCGGGTCGGCCCCACGGGGCCGTCATGAAAATGGCGCGACCCAGTCTGAAATTTGACGCGGGCTCTCGCTGCAGACACCCCACGAAAACGGGACCCTCAAAATCCAGGACACGCTCGTCAGGAAACGTCGGCAAAGCCGAGATCCGGCGCACTCGAGCCTTACGCTTCCCCGGCCGTGGACCCCTTCAGTGCATATGGAGCCACATGCGAACCCTACCCCTGCCCCCCGCGATTTCTGAGGGGGAGGGCGGGGTTCACTTCTTTCGGGAGCTCCCGAGCTAAGTGAACCCCACCCTCCCCCCTAGAAATCGTGGGGAGTAGGGGTCGGGTTCGCATGTGGTCCCCTAGTGCCAGCGCTGCCCTGGGGACTCACGACGTCGTGGGGGGGGGAGGCGAGGGACCCTGCCAGCTCCAGGTGCACTCCGTGGACAAGCCAGCTGCGCGCCGCACGCACCTCCCCAGGACGAGAGGGCCAGGCCAGACGTATCGTTAAGTCGGGTCTGTCCTCCAAAATGGTTGAAAAATGCCTGAAACATTCATCCCCGTCCTATGTCTTACCATTTTTTGACATTCCTCCTGTAGAAGGACAGGCCCGACTTAATCGTATCGTTCGGAAGTAACCATCCAATTACGGAAGGCTCGAGAAAGGGCGAGGGGGCAGGGAGACGGAGGGGGGAAAGACGCAACAACGGTGGATCCGACGGTGTTCCGCTCACGGGCACCGAAGTCGGCGCGCGCCTGCGCGATGCAAACGGTGGAGGCAAGGGAGGAGAGGGGGGAGGAGAGGGAGAGGGTCAAGCAGAACAAGAAGTTGATGGGGAAATAAGGCGTGCCAGGATAAGGAATCATGCCGCGGGAGAGCAGGAAAGGCCGAGCCGACACCGAATCGGGAGCCGCGGCCGCTAAGCAACAGCCAGCTCGGAAAGGAGGCCGCAGCACGTGCCAAACGAAGGGAGGCACGTTCTCGTGTGAAGCGGCGTGCACACAACAGTCGGCGGCACCGAATCGGGGGCCGCCGCTGTCGGCCAGTGCACGTGCCAGCCGAAAGATGGCACGTTGTCATGTGGAGTGGCTTATACGCAAAAGTCCCAAAAAGGGCAGCAGCGCGGCGGTCAATGTTAGGTCGGGCATGTCCTCCTACAGGCGGATTTGGGACGACAAATAAATGATACCCCAACAAACTTACAACACATTCCAAATTATCCTGGCGAAGGACCCAACCATAATGCAGCTGTGCGTATCGCAAGTGCGAGTATCTTCTTCGGTAGCGATCCCTAAGGGGCCACGAAACGCATGAGGGCTGTGCCGGGGCCTTCGGTGGAGCTCCCTGTGGGGCCACGAAGCGTGCAGGGATGTGCCGACATTGGTGCTGTGGGCGCATTGGAACGCAGCCACTGGGGCCTTCGGTGGAGCTCCCTGTGGGGCCACGAAACGAGTGAGGGGTGTGCCGAAATGGGCACGGTGGGCGCATGCGAACGCAGCCACTGTGGCCTTCGGTGGAGCTCCCTGTGGGGCCACGGAACGTGTGAAGGGTGTGCCCAAATAGGTGCGGTGGGCGCATGCGAACGCAGCCACTGGGGCTTTCGGTAGGGCTCCCTGTGGGGCCGAAATTGGTGCGGTGGGCGCATGCGAACGCAGCCACTGGGGCCTTCGGGGGGGCTCCATGTGGGGCCCCAAAAAGTGTGAGGGGTGTGCCGAAATGGGTGCGGCGGGCGCACGCGAACGCAGCCACTGGGGCCTTCGGTGGAGCTCCCTGTGGGGTCACGAGACGTGTGAGGTGCGTACGGAAATGGGTGCGGTGGGCGCAGGCGAACGCAGCCACTGGGGCTTTCGGTAGGGCTCCGTGGGGCCACGGAACGTGTGAGGGGTGTGCCGAAATGGGCACGGTGGGCATATGCGAACGCAGCCACTGGGGCCTTCGGTGGAGCTCCCTGTGGGGCCACGGAACGTGTGAAGGGTGTGCCCAAATAGGTGCGGTGGGCGCATGCGAACGCAGCCACTGGGGCCTTCGGTGGAGCTCCTTGTGGGGCCACGAAACGTGTGAGGGGTGTGCCGACATGGGTGCGGTGGGCGCACGCGAACGCAGCCACTGGGGCCTTCGGTGGAACTCCCTGTGGGGCCACGAAACGTGTGAGGGGGGTGCCGACATGGGTGCGGTGGGCGCATGCGAACGCAGCCACTGGGCCCCCACTGTGAAGCCACGAAACGTGCAAGGGGTGTGACGAACTGATTGCGGTGGGCGCATGCGAACGCAGCAATTGGGGCCTTCGGTGGAGCTCCCCGTGGGGCCACGAAACCTATGAGGGGTGTGCCGAAATGGGCGCGGTGGGCGCATGCGAACGCAGCCACTGGGGCCTTCGGTGGAGCTCCCTGTGGGCCACGAAACGTGTGAGCGGTGTGCCAGAGTGGGTGCGGTGGGCGCATGCGAACGCAGGGTGTGCCGAAATGTGTGCGGCGGGCGCACGCGAACGCAGCCACTGGGGCCTTCGGTGGAGCTCCCTGTGGGGCCACGCAACGTGCGAGCGATATCCAGAAATGGGTGGGGTGGCCGCATGCGAACGCAGCCATTGGGGCCTTCGGTGGAGCTCCCTGTGGGGCCACGAAACCTGTGAGGGGTGTGCCGAAATGGGTGCGGTGGGAGCATGCGAACGCAGCCACTAGGGCCTTCGGTGGAGCTCCCTATGGGGCAACGAAACTTGTGAGGGGTGTGCCGAACTGATGATGATGGTAATGATGATGACGATGATGATGGTGACGGTGATGCTGATGATGGGGATGCTGATGATGGGGAAAGGGAGGGGGGGCAGCGGGAGGAATGACGCGGGCGCTGTCTGTTCAAAACGAGGACCCAACACCACAGGATGGTTGGGAAATAGTCAACGAACATCCGTCCCCAGAGTATGTTTAAAACTTGTTTGAACATTCCCCCTGTAGAGGGACACGCCCGACTGCAGCTCAATACCACGACGCGCTCATGTAGGAGGCCGGCGCCGCAGGCGGAGCCCTGCGCTGCTCTCCCGAAGGGGGGCCCGCCGCGAGGAGGCAGCCCAGGCTGGGCTGCTCCAACGAACGGTTGCGCCCCTCTGTGCCGAGAACACCCCCGACCCTCCCGAGCCCCAGCACGCCGAGGCTCCCCACCTCTGGAGGAACAAACAAACTCCTACTCCTCTTCCCCTGCTCCTCCTCCTCCTCCTCCTCCTCCTCCTCCTCCTCCTCCTCGTCCTCCTCCTCCTCCCCCTCCGCCTCCTCCTCCTCCTCCTCCTCCTCCTCCTCCTCCTCCTCCTCCTCCTCCCTCCTCCTCCTCCCCCCTCCTCCTCCCTCCTCTCCTCCTCCTCCTCCTCCTCCTCCTCCTCCTCCTCCTCCTCCTCCTCCTCCTCCTCCTCCTCCTCACATAAACTGTCGGAAACCCGCGCGGACTTCTCGGATCGGCGCTGGACTCCCTCCCCAGCGCGCGGAGCGTGCCAGGGGCGGCGCCGGAGGCGCCGCCAGAGGCGCCCAGCGCAGGTTCAAGAGATCCACACGGAGCTCCCAACCCTCATGTGAGCACAAATGGGAGGAGGAGAGTTGGAGGAGGAGGGGGAGGAGAGTCGGAGGAGATTTGGAGGATACTTGGAGGAGAGTTGGAGGAGGATCCAGGAGGAGGAGGAGGAGGAGGAGGAGGAGGAGGAGGAGGAGGACCCCATCGAGGAGGCCCTCTCCAGCTCCTCACGTTTTTCTCCTTCGAGACCTCCAGGTTCAGGGCCTGGTGCGGGGCCTGCGAGATGATCAGCGTCACCGGCCTGTGCTCCCTGTCCGCGCCCACGCGGAGCTCCAGGCTCTGGGCCTCCACGCGCTGTCCGAACTCCTCCCTCCACAGGAAGCGGGCCCGCAGGAGGCCCACGCTCGCCTCGGCGATCTCGGTGCCGACGCCCTCGCGCGAGAAATCCCTCCAGCTCGAGTTGCCCACCTGCGTTGCCGCTCGAGCAGCCCCCCCCCCCCCCCCGGGCCGCTTGAGCTTTCCGCCCTCCAGCCCCCCGCCCTCCCTCCCCCCCGCAGGCGCCTGGTCAGCGGGCTGGGTCACGTCCCCCCCCCCCCCCGCCTACCCAATCCCTCCCCCCCCCTCCCCCCCCATGCGCGTGTTCAGAAATCGTCGTCACGGCTCCCCCTCTGATGGGCCTGTTTTCCACCACCACCACCACCACCACAAGTCGGAGGGGGAGGGGGTCCTCCACTTCGTCCTCCTCCTCCTCCTCCTCTTCGTCCTCCTCCTCCTCGTCCTCCTCCTTTCCCCCTCCAACTTGTGGTGGTGGTGGTGGTGGAAAACAGGCCCATCACCCTCCCCCCCCCACCTCCGCCCCAGGCGCCTGTTCAAAGGGCGTGGCGTGGTACAGAAAGATGCCCCCCCACCAGGCGCCTGCTCAGACGTCGTGGCTGCGCTTTCCCGCCCCCGCTCATGCGCCGGCTCAAGAGCCCGCCCCCCCGCGCCCCGGGTGCCTGCTCGGAAGGCTGGGTCACGTCCCCTGGGCGCCTGTGACGAGGGCTGCGCCACGTTTTCCCCCGGGGGGAAGGGAAAGGGGATGGAAAACAGGCAGGGTTGGGAAAGGAATGGAAAACAGAGAGAGGTGGTCGGGGGGGGGGGGGAGAAATGGAGGGGAATTCCGCACGGGGGGGGGAGGCAGTCTGGACGCCCTCCAAATTACATAGCACCCCGTTAATCCAACACCTGCAGCGAGAAGTTCGTCACCGTCTCGCTTCCCGCCTGGTTGCTTCCCCCGGCGTTGCGCGTGTGTGGGCGGACCCGCACAATCTGGTGGGCCAGCAGCGAGCCAGCCAGGGTGATTCCCTTGACGTAAAGCCCGCAGGCCCGCACACCGTCGGTGTCCATGCTGGCACTCAGCCTGAGCAGCGCCGGGTCCCTCTCGCTGTGCGGCACGCGGAACAAGGGGCAGTCGGACAACGGCATGCGGATGTCAAACTTTTCGCCGTTCAGGTTGGTCACGTGCGGGTCGTTCGACACGGACGCCGCTGTCGTGGGAGCTGGGCTCGGAGGCGGTGCGGGGACGCTGGCGCTTGTCCCGCTGATCGTGGGTGCCGAGCTCGGAAATGGGGTGGGCTCTGGAGACGGCACCGGGGTAGGTGCCAGGGACGGCGCCAGAGTCGGAACCGGGGTAGGTGCTAGAGTCGGCGCCAGAGTCGGAGGCGACGATTCGATCAGTGCTATCCTGGGGTCGTCCACGTCACTGCAGAGCACGAAGAACAGCTTGGCTGGAGGATGAACAGGGATGCCAGCGCACCGAAACTGGGGCTCGTCTGCACACTCATCCCAGTTTTCGTGCCCGATGCCGTCAGTCCGGCAGATACCGACCAGGTTGGTGTTGCCGCTGGCGGTGGCGCAGGCGGCATAGTGCGTGACACCCTCTTCGGGTGTTGCTGGAAGTGCCCCTGGCCTAAGGTGTCCCCAGAGTCTCCAGGGAGGCCCCCACGGCCTCCAGAGAACCCGTCACGAGGCCCAGACGGCCCCAGGGGCTCCAAGCTGGAGGGACCTGCTGGGGGCACCTTGGGCCAGGGGCACCTTGAGCACCCCCCGACCTCTGTCCTGTTCCAGTGGATCGGCTCGTAGTCCCGCCAGTTCACGCCGCACGCCATGAAGCTGCCCTGCTTGCGGCGGGCCGGCTGGCTGTGGGGGCGGCCGTGGGCTCGGGAACCGCTCTGGATGTCCACTGCGGCTTCCAGGCGTAGCCTGGCGTCCCGCTCAACCAGGTCCAGCGCAGCTGCAGGATGGGCGTCTCCTCTCCATCTGCCTCCCTCGCTCAAAGCCCTCTGTGCTGCAAAAACCGGCTGCAGCAAACACGCTACCGCGAAATGTCGCATTGCATGCCCACCTACAGATACCGTGTACTCTTGCGACTTGACGCGTCAGATAGAGAATGTATCAAGGGAGCGGTGTAAGGTGTGGCCGAAAGAGGCCGTAAGCCCGGCACGCTTCAGCCAAAATGGCTACGGAGAAGACTTGCGACCAGGGTGAGCCCCCCACTCGTCTACACCACCGCTCCAGACAAACAGCAGCGGCTCCGCACCGGCCGCTAGCGGCAGAACCGCCAGCGTTTGAAGGTGAGGGGCATGGGCGCAGAAGGGGGTAACGTCAGAGCACCTACTTGGGTGAACCACGCGCCATTGCCGAAATCCCCTGCGATTTGTTGTGCTACAGCCCTGCTCATCCAGGAGGAGGAGGAGAGAACATGACTGCAAGTGCCTCTGACTGTTACCCAATCTGAAACCGTGCCCCCCGGCACGTGAAGGCGTGACAGACTGCCGTAGCGATGTCTGGCAGGGCTTCTGCCTTACAAGTAGGGGCCACTCCCCCTATAAGTGGAGGCCAGTCCACAGACCTTCCACAAGAAGCCCAACCCTGAGAGCCCAGGACGTCCATTGAACTTTGGTGTGAGGGCGTCACGCCGTCCATCGCAAAATCGGGAGCGGCCAAGAGGGGGGTGTCCAAGAGGGGGGGGGTGCAAATCATGACCGGCGGCATGTGCGCGGCCCAGCGGGGGGACCTGGGACGTCATAAAATAAGAAGAGGCGCCATGAAATCCGAGGAAGAATCATGGCCCGCGCCATGAAATCCACCCCCCCCTCGTCATCACCCCCCTCTTTTCCGCTCCCGACAAAACCATCCAGACCCAAGAAACCGAGGACACCCTGGAGACAAGCGGGGTGCTTCTTGCTGTGGGCCTCCACGGCAGGGACCCAGTCCGCCGCGACCCCCCCCTCCTCCTCCTCCTCCTCCTCCTCCTCCTCCTCCTCCTCCTCCTCCTCCTCCTCCTCCTCCTCCCCTCTCTCCTCCTCCTCCTCCTCCTCCTCCTCCTCCTCCTCCCTCCTCCTCCTCCTCCTCCTCCTCCTCCTCCTCCTCCTCCTCCTCCTCCTCCTCTCCTCCTCCTCCTCCTCCTCCTCCTCCTCCTCCTCCTCCTCCTCCTCCTCCTCCTCCTCCTCCTCCTCCCTCCCTCCTCCTCCTCCTCCTCCTCCTCTTCTCCTCCTCCTCCTCCTCCTCCTCCTCCTCCTCCCCCCAAGCCCCCGAAGATGCACGACGCGACCCGAATTTGGGGAGAGTTTCCCATGGCACGGGCGCAGTCATTGGCATTGCGTGGCACTGCTGGGCACGACGCGCCCGGGGGCGAGGGGCCCGGAGGGCCCCCCGAGGACCGGGCACAGCAACAATACGGGAGGCACCGGGGGCGGGGAATGGGAATGGGAATGGTCAATTCGCGAAGCGAAAAAGATATTAATCAAGGAGGGATGCGGCCTCTGGCTCGTTGCTCCGACAACAACAAAAGCTTTGGCCAGTGCCCATCCGCAATCCGGTTGAAATATTATTGTCGGGGCTTGTTGGCTCTATGAACACATTCGGATGCAAGCCCTCGCATCTGATCGGAGGAGTAAAATCCGCACGCTCCACAAAACCAGAGCTTCAAACTTCCGTGAAACCTGAGGTTGTGAGAGGAATGCAGCCACCCCCCCGCCCTATGGACTTTACACCCTTGGGGTATTCGTGAGACAACACCGTCTACAGACTGCAGTGCAAAACAAGGCGTATTCAACCAGTCACCGACACAGTTATTGGTCGCGGACCCTTTGCATGTGGTACACTGGCGGCCACTGCCATCAAGGATATGCGAGGTACAGAAACGAGCGACTGTGATTGGGGCAGGCGGATGTAACCGAAGTTTTTCAGACTCGCGCTTGGGACGAGGATCCGCGGCCATGGCGTCCATGGTGGCCCTGATGAGCCGATGCCTGGCCAACTCCGCTCTCTTCTCGTGCTGAACAACACGGGCGCGCACAGCTGCTGGTGTTCTGTGCTCATGTGCTGCTCGGCCTGCCAACTGATCTGCTCGATGATTGCCGTGCCACATCCACAGCGCATAACCTTTCTCTGCAGCTTCGACTTCCGACAAGTGTGAATTCATAAAAACGACTGAGACTCGGCCGTGTCGATCCTCAGCCTCATGCATGTGCCGACCCATAGCTTGCCAAAGGTCAGTGTCTGAATTGGCCTCACGTGGGTTGAGGCACCGGGGGCGGGGAACCCGAGGAACCCAGGGAGCCCAGGGAATGAACACCCACCAGACAAGCACAACCCAACCCGAAGACCCCAATTTGAGACCTGAATTCCGGGTTGGGGGGGGGGTACGGGTCCCATGTACTTTTTCAATGTTCCCCGACCCCCCCCACACTGGAAATGGAGGGCAACGTGAGGCCTTCGGATTGGGTTGGGGTGGTCTGGTGAGTGGTGAGGGAACCTCCGAGAGAAACGGGTAAAGCAACAACAGGAGGCACCAACGTTGGACCAAGCGAGAGCCCCTGAGGCAAGCCGAATTGGGGAAGAACCACGGATCTGCGCTTTTGAGGACACGATCCCTCGGTGCTCGGGGGCGCGCAAGCAGGGATCAGCGATCCATGGATTTGGTGCGCGGTCGCCAAATCCATGGATCGGGGGAAGTGCCCTCCCCAGAATGCGGCTGGTGGCGCCGGCAGCGGCAATCAGCGATTTCATATAGAAACGGGTCCCGTCGCTAATCCACACCCCCTTAATCCATGTGTGCGATCGCCTGAATTAAGAACCCAAGCTTCCGTAGGAGGAGTCGCGGAGTAGGAGGAGGAGGCGCAGGAAGAGGAGGAGGAAGAAGAGGAGGAGGAGGAGGAGGCGGAGGGGGAGGAGGAGGAGGAGTAGGAGGAGGAGGAGGAGGAGGAGGAGGAGGAGGAGGAGGAGCAGGGGCAGGAGCAGGACGAGGATGAGGATGAGGAGGAGGAGGAGGAGGAGAAGGAGGAGGAGGAATCGCGAGTCCGCGTCCCGAGTTTCCGAGACCCCATGCAGGCGACCAAAGACACCCAGGTGGCCCAAGATGCCTCGAAGACGGCCCCAGGATGGCCCCAATGGGGGATGGACAGACCTCCATTTAGTAAAACGTGGTTTAGTGAAAACGACCTGAGGACCAAACCTGGCGGGCGCGAGCCTGGAAAATAACGGCCTCGGCGCCCTCGCGAGAACCGAAAAAGGACAATTCACTAATCGACGTGTCACTGTTTGGGGGTTCTGTCCACCCCCGACCCAATAGGGCCGCATGCGGCGTCAAGACAGCCCGAGATGTCCCCAAAAGGGCCCCAAAGGGCCACTGGAGGACCTCCAACAGGGTCCGAAGAAGCCAAAATCATGGATCCCCGTCCTGTGCTTGAATGAGTTTCGCACTCTCGCCATTTCGGGCTTCCGTGAGCTCAAGACGAACCAAGAAGCCTCCACGATTGCCCCAAGACGGCCCAAGAGGCTCCAAGAGGGCCCCAAGATGGCCTAAGAAGACCCCGCGACGGCCCTAGAGGATTCCAAAACGGCCCCAAGACGGCCCAAGGTAGCCTCCCGTGGGACCCAAGAAGTCCGTAGAAGGCCCGTCGACTGCCCAAGACGGCGCCAAGACGACCCCCAGACACCCACCATACGGCCTAGACGGCCCCGATACAGTCCAAAAGAGCCCCAAGACGGCGTAAGCGGGCCCCAAGATGGCCTAAGAAAGAGGGGCCCAAGGAACCCCCAAAACCTGCCTCACTCGAGGCCAAGACAGCTCCAAGGCGGCCCAAACGAGTTCCAGGGAGCTCCTCACATAGTGCAGACCGAAGGTGTCACGTGAGACGACGTTCCTCTTCCTCATCCTCCTCCTCCTCCTCCTCTTCCTCCTCCTGCTCCTCCTCTTCCTGCGCCTTCTCCTCCTCCTCCTCCTTCTCCTCCTCCTACTACATCGTCGTCATCATCAGCAGCAGCATCGTCATCGTCATCGTCATCGTCATCGTCATCTTCATCGGCATCGTCATCGTCATCGTCATCGTCATTCTTATTATCATCATCATCATCATCATCATCATCAGTATCATCGGCATCATCACCCTCATGGTCGTCATGGTCAGCATCATCAGCAGCAGCACCATCAGTCTAGCCAGCATCGAAATCATAGTCGGTATCATCATCAGCAGCATCATCATCAGCAGCATAATCATATCTATCATCACCATCGCCATCACCATCATCATAATCAGCATCATCATCATCATCATCATCATCATCATCATCATCATCATCATCATCATCATCATCATCATCATCATCATCATCATCATTATCATCAGCAACAACATCATCAGCATCATCAGCATCATCAGCATCATCAGCCATTGCATCAGCATCATCAACAACATCATTATCAGCAGAAGCAGCATCCCCGCAATTATCGAGATGTGCATCAGCATCAGCATCAGTATCAGCAGCATCATCATAATCATCATCCTCCTCATCCTTCTCATCATCACCATAATCATCATCATCACCATCATCACCATCACCATCACCATCACCATCATCATCATCATCATCATCATCATCATCATCATCATCATCATCATCATCATCATCATAGTCGTCGTCGTCATCGCCAGCAGCAGCATCATCATCAGCATCGCCATCATCAGCAGCAACATCAGCATCAGCATCACCATCAGCAGCAGCTTGAACGTCATCAACAACATTTTCACCAGCAGCAGCATCATGACCATCAGTATCATCACCACCACCATCATCACTATACGAATCATCAACATCCTCATCGCCATCATAGTACCATCATCATCAAGCCGATCATCTCCCCACCCCCCATCATTCTAATAATACGCATCATCCCCAGCACGGCTCTCCCAAGCCTGGATACACGAGGTGTCACACATGACGGCATCACGTGCCCCCATCGAACAATTGCCATCAAGAATGTTGGGCTGGCACGGTGGCGCGACCTGCCGCAGGCAGCTGGATATTCGCCCAACAAGCGTCAACCAGAGATCCTGGTGTCGTGCTCTCAGAAAGCGAAGGGTGAGCGATGTGTCGAGGAGTAGGGAGCTGTGCTTTTGGACCCTCACAAAGCGCAACCCATATTTGTACTCATGCCGTGAAGTCGTACATCACAGGGCACATTGCGAATGCATCTAGGAGTGCCCCATAGCGCTCGATTACACCTGCGTCCGCGCGCCATGGTGGTCTTCATGTATGACAGGATGGCAAGATAGTTATCGCTCCATTGTTTCCAAACGATGACAAGTCACCG